GCCAACAGCACGCCGCCACAGCTCACGGCCTCTTCGGTCACGGCCCTCAGGCGCAAAACAGCGTCGACTGTCGAACGCCCCGCCCGAAAACCAAATTTGGCGTCCGACAGATCGGGGCCCACCTCGTAGAGGTGCCGGACGATGCGGGCAGAGAGAACCCTCTCAAACAATTTACCCGCCTCGTCCAGCAGCACGATGGGCCTGTAGGCCGCGACCGAATCGGCAGGCCGTCCCGGCTTCCTTAATAGGACCAGCTTCCCGCTCTTCCAGCACTCAGGGAAACATCCCGACGCCAAGCTAGCGTCGAACACCTCCCCGAGGCGGTCTGCCATGTGGTTGAGGGCTAGGGCCAGCACTCGGGCCGGTACCCCGTCTGGCCCAGGGGCGGTGTTCTTGGAACGGATCCGTAGAACAGCCGCCCCTACCTCCGAATCCCGGACGGGCGGAACATCATCCTCCTCGTGCTCCCCGTCGTCTCCGGCCAAGGAGGCCATCGCCGGGGGAGTGTGTTCCGCTCGTTGCGGGAAAAGGGCCTCAACCACTTCTCGCAGGAAGCTGGGCTGGAGAGTCTCCGTAAGGGGGGGGCCCGACGCGCGGAGCTTTTGTCCCCCCAGGGGTCACGATCAAGACCCTGCAGCATCTCCTTTCTCTTTTCTTCCTTGGCGCGGCTAATGGCCAGCTTCAGAGTTTTCCGCGCCTGTCGGTACTCCTCATGAAGCAGGTCCTCCTCACCGTCTCCACGGTGACGCCGCCGACTGCGCGTGTAGGACCTCCGGGCACGTGTATAGGCCGCACGGAGGTCCGCCAGCTCCTGGGACCACCAGTAGACCTCCTTCCTTGGAGGCCGACGACCTCGGATGCGGGGCATGGCCGCATCGCAGATATGCGTAATCGCATCGCGAAAGCGACCAGCCCCCACGTCGACCTCCTCGGTCGGAGCCTAAGGAGACAGCCACGAGTGAATAGTAGTAGTAGGTCCCGGTTCAGTCTGGCAACAGTACACCGCGGAAAGCGGGATAAACGCCGCGCCACGTGACCCCTACTGGAGTTCTGGGTCCGGGAGAGCTCAAATCGGATATGAAGATGATCCGAGAGCGTCTCAACCTCTTCCAGGACACGTTCTGGACGGGACAGTTCCTTACTCGTGCGGCGAGGGCAGGGGTAGCGAACGAAAGGTCCACTATCGACCCCCCCTGCTGTCGCACGCACGTGTTGGTGGAGCCTCTGTTGAGAAGACAGGCCCACTGAGGCCGCCCACTCCTCTACGGCCACGCCCCTTGCGTCCGTCCTGGGGAACCCCACGCAATGGACTTTGCGTTGAAGTCCCCCAGCACACGGACGTGCCCAGACGCTAGTCGCCGTATCGAGGTCTCCAAGCTGGTTAGGAAAACCTCGAAGTCGCTCAAACTCCGGTTGGGGGAGAAGTATACACCATATATAGTGATCCCCCCCCTCTCGGCAGCAATCAGGGAAACTGCGTTAGTCAGTCACCCTCTACACCTCAATCAACACGCATACTCGATGGGTAAATCAACAGAATCTGCCCTACATCGAGTTGTTTCATATATAGAAGACAATCTAAATCACAAAAGGTCAACACTGGCCACCTTTATCGATATCGAGGGAGCCTTTGACAAGACCAACTTCACCAGCATTAGCCAAGCTCTGTCTAGGCATGGTGTTGATTCCACAATCTCAGGGTGGATCGACAGCATGCTAAGATATAGAGCTATACAATTCACTGTGAGCGAAGTGACTAGAGGAGTGGTGGCTAGAGGCTGCCCCCAGGGCGGTGTACTCTCCCCCCTTCTATGGAACATTGTTGTGGATGAGCTCATCACACAACTTAATGACCAAAGATTCCTCACAATAGGCTATGCAGACGATCTTACTATTCTCATCAGCGGTCCTTTTGAGAGCATTACATGCGATCAAATGAGACTTGCACTGAAGATCGTGGAACAATGGTGCGTAGCACACAACCTGACAGTGAACCCATCGAAAACAGAGATGATCATGTTTACAAACAAACGCAGCCTAGGAAATCTCAGACTTCCCAAGCTATTTGGAACACAACTTACTCTTACCAAAGAGGTCAAATACCTAGGAGTAATACTGGACAGTAAACTCCTGTGGAACAAGCACCTCGATGAAAAACTGAATAAAGCCTGCATTATTTTCTGCCAATGCAAGCGGCTACTCGGCAAAAGCTGGGGGCTATCACCCAAAATTACTTTATGGCTATACAGAACAGTCATAAAACCAATAATCACTTACGGTGCTGTTGTCTGGTGGCAGAGAACAGAGCTAAGCACCGTCATAAACAAACTGCAGCAATTCCAGCGACTCCCATGCTCCGCGGTCACTGTCTGTATGCGCACAACGCCTACTGCCGCACTGGAGGTGGCTCTTGGTCTGCCACCCCTGGATCTATTCATACAGCAGGAGGCCGCCATGGCGATCATTAGACTCAAACACCTGGGTCTATGGCACAAACGTGGGGGATCGCACTCTAAATTATGGGATCAATTGGTGGAATACGAACCACTGATAGCAGCGCCATGCGATAGAATCCCAAAATAAAATATCTTTACAAGAAGATACTACATCCAGATACATGGAAATGACCGAGATCAATCCGGCATTAACGAAGTCCGAATTTACACGGACGGTTCCAAGACTAGGTCAGGAACTGGAGCCGGAGTTTTCTCGCAAGACCTAAACATAAACATATCACTAGCGTTAGGCCAACACAGTTCCATATTTCAATGTGAATGTGTGGCAATAACTTACGCTGCCACAACGGCCATGTCAAGGGGTATTAAGGACTACAACATCCGAATAATATCCGACAGCATGGCCGTCTTAAAGACATTGGAGGGCAACACAATGACCTCTGGTATTGTCTTCGAATGCCACCAAGCACTGGAACAGCTCGCTATATTCAATGGGGTAATCCTCCAATGGATTAAAGGGCACAGTAACTCACACGGGAACGATGCCGCAGATGAGTTGGCAAGGAGGGGCTCGGCAACCCCAACCTATGGCCCAACCCCACTCCTGCCCATATCGTTTAACCAAATACGATGCTGGGTCAGGCAACGGACCTGTGAAGCACACAACCGGAGGTGGAAAAACTCACCCGGCTGCAGACAGTCCAAACTGGTGCTGAATCAAGTCACACCACGACTCACCTGCAGACTAATCAGTCTTAGCAGACCGGAAATCAGAACGGTTGTCGGAACTATTACAGGACATCTAGCCCTGAACCGACAACTATTCATAATCAATGCGACGGACAGTCCCCTGTGCAGGGGATGTCTGGAAGCTGAAGAAACGGCCGTCCACGTAGTCCTGGAATGCGAGGGAGTGGCCACACAACGGGCAAGTATCATTCCTGATACAAAGTCGCTCCTAGAAGCCTGTGAACGCCCCAGGAGGCTTCTGCGCTTCTTCTGGAAGGAGCTTGGCTGGCTCACCTAGTCAACCAATCCTCGACGCATAAAGGACCACTCTGAGTCTAAATGCGGAAACCGAAGCCCACAACCAATACCCCCTCTCGGCAGCAACATATCCCGTGCCCTTATCTCTTAGCGACAAGGGCGGGGAATGAGCCTCCGTGGAACCGACGACTGCCACGGAGCCGTCCCAGTCACCCATCCAGTTTGGACCTGGAGGGACAACATAGGGCTCCGCGACTACGGCAACACCTATCGACCACTATGCCATGGTTTGCAGGAAGAGATCCTGCGCCGCGGCACAGTGGTTCAGGTTCGTCTGGACCAGGAGGTTAGAGACTTGATCCATTACTGGGTCGTCGCTACAACCTCCTCCTCCATGGGCGACGACGTCGACGCACGAACTACATCGGAGGCAGCCTGGGTCGACTGGCTAGCCCCCGATGCTTGCTGAGAATTGCGGGGAGCTTGCAGCCCCCCTGCCCCATCTGGTGATTGGCGGGCTTGTTACCCGCTGCACACACCGGGCAGTGAGGGGCTGCAGAGCATTCCGCCGCCACATGCCCCGGTCGACCACAGCGGAAACATAGTCCGCTGCAGTCAAAGCAGCTTTGACACTTGACGCGCGTGTGTCCCGATGCTAGGCATTTGTAACACCTCATCGGCTTCGCCGCCAGGACTGTGATCCTAGCGCTCACGAAACCGATGAGCAGCCTGCCGGCGTCGGCCAATACTTTGGCCGACGCTACGGGACAGCTGACCCACACGGCGCCAAGCCCTCCTGGACCGGGACGGATGGTGCCGACCCTGACGTTGTCCGCTCTGCACCCCGTCTTCTCCCGGATTACAGCGCGGACATCTTCGGCCGTCACAGAGTCGTCCAGTGAGTCGTAGGCCTGGCGATCTTGACACCATCTGTGGTCGCGAATATACCCCGCAGCCTCTCAGCTAACGAGTCCGCCATCTTTGCGCCTTCAGCCCCAGGGAACTCGAGAACTCGAGCTCCCGTCTGGGCGAGGCGCATCCTGACCCCAACCGTCCCAAAATCATTGGCGAGGCTATCCCTGACCTTTGTAAATACGGCCGCATAGGACAGCCCGCCGTCAGCCGCCTCCGGGGACACGGTCACCACTACAGCCGCGGTTTTGGGCGGCTGCAGCTTCCGCGACCTCTTTTTAGAGGCCGTTGCCACCGGTGGCGAAGGCTGGGCTTGGGCTGCTTTTTGGGCAGCCCTTCTGGCCGCCTTCGGGACTTCTTGGAGCCCCTCGCCTCCTTAGGCCGCTGCACAGTGCGGCCGATTCCCAAAAAGCTGGCCAAAAGTCGAAAAAAAAAGTTTCTAGATAGAGTATTTTTGTCTTTGGGTTGGCTACAGTAATCCCTTGAGAAGTGAAAACCGTTCACAGCAACGTCCTATACCCTAAGTATCCCCTGTATTTTCAGTCGCAACGTGGCCTTCGTTTGAGCATCGTATTACTGTCGATGAATAGTGAAAGTTGTACACATGTGAAAGATTTTGTAATGAAGTAAATTGAACAAAACCAAATGGAATCATCTTCGGAAGGTTAGTAAAATACGAGAAATCTTTAGTACATATCAATACCTCGACACAAAATTTTTAGCTGCAGTAATACGAAGATACATTTTTTGCAATTTTTTTTTTTAAATTTGAGTTTTCAAACTGTATAGTAATACAACGCCGTCATATGCTGCTTTGAAACCTATTAGAGGTTACTCAAAAAAGTAATAGTTACTGAATAAAACAAGACTCAGCTGTAGCAGCTGAGTCTTGCTACCTTGGCTTTTATGCTATTTTTTGTGCACAAGAAATAAATACGAAGAGAGAATGAGAGAAAACAGTGAAAGCCTATACTTTAAAGAGGGGATCTGCTTGTATTAGTAACGTAGGTTTCTATACAATTTCGTTTCTATCAAAATGTGCGTGCATGCGCGCATGCGCGCACTCGCGTGCGTGTGTGTGTGTGTGTGTGTGTGTGTGTGTGTGTGTGTGTGTGTGTGTGTGTGTGCGTGTGTGTGTGTGGGTGTGTTCAATTCGGAAGAGCTCACCTCTTACGTTATTTCACCATGCTCTCAACCGCACACCCAAGACCGGTCACATTACCGTAAACTTGAGTGTACACGAATTATTTAAAACTTTTCATTTTATCAGATTTCTGTTATTACTAAAGAAAAGAATACATGCATGTCTTAAAAAAAAAAATTGTGAAAAATAGTCTAATTTTGCTGATTATTTGTTACGGTGTTTAAAAATATTATTTTTTGTTTCATTTATTACCATATGTTGTTTTTGATAGAAAAATATTTATTTATTTTTTAGGTGCCAGTAATACGATGGAAGGAGATTTGACGAGGCTCAAATTATTTCACGAAATTAAAAACATTTTAAAAAGTGACAAACACGACATTTTTGCAAAAGTAGAAACCTTTTTATCGAAAAGTGAGAATTCCCGTTTTACGTTATCAGATGAAGAAAAAAGCCAAATATGTGATACAGTGAATAAAATGATACAAAGATGGGAGGATTGCAGCAAAAGAGTAGAAGATAGATTTTTGAAAAAAAACTATGATTGGTTACAAAAAAATATTGAGCTCAAAAAAGGTAGCCAAAAGGAAAAAACTAATACAGAGCCAAGAGAGACGCAAAATGACGAAAAAAATTCAATAACAGGTCGTCGAGAACTTAGTTTTTCCGAATCTTCAGAAAGAAGTAAACGCAGAAAAACAGAAGAATTACGAGCAAAGGTGTCAACAGAAGCTCTTTTGTACTCGGCAACTAGTAAACTGCGTTCGGAAGGTAACATTGATTTTGCAAATGTGGTACGTTATATTTCCGAAGGAAGTCCTACAAAAGCTGCAAGATACAGGAAATCGTTGGAGTCTACAAATGTACCTTTCACTGAAAACGAGGCTTTATTATTGTATGTAGAACTTGGATTATCACAGAGTAAATATCAGCTGCTGCGAAATGCTCATATGGAAAAAAAATCACGGATGTTTCCAGCATATAAAAAGATCCAAAAAGCAAAGTTACAGTGTTATCCTGCAACAGGTATGTCATTCACTGAAAATGAAGCAGCAGTTACATTGCAGTCTATACTTAATCATACAAGTGATCGCATTATCTTACTTAACATGGAAGTTATAAAAATTTTATCTGCAAAGCAACTTGAAAATTTAATCTTAATTGTTAAGTGGGGCTGCGATGGCAGCTCGGGCCATAATGAATACAAGCACAAGCTTGATGATGAAACCGATAGTGACAAACATATTTTTTTTACCTCTCTTGTACCATTGCAACTTCTACACATAGACACTGCTACAATTAAGTCTACAGTAGTCTGGAAAAATCCGAGACCATCATCCCCACGATACTGTAGACCTATCAAAATACAATGTGCAAAGGAATCAGTTGACTTGACAAAAAAAACAACAGACGAGGTGGAAGATCAAATACAAAATCTCGATGCGTTTGAAACTACTGTTGATGGGACAATCGTGCGTGTCAAGTATGATTTATCCTTAACAATGATAGATACCAAAGTGTGTAACTCATTGACAGATACAACTTCTGCTATGCGTTGTTATCTATGTAAGCGCACATCAAAAGATTTCAACGACATTGATGCAATGCTTCAAACAGACATTATTACGGAACACTTGAAATTTGGAATTTCATCGCTTCATTGTTGGATTAGATGTTTCGAGTTTCTGCTACATTTGTCGTACAAATTGAAAATCGAGAAATGGCAGGCTCGTAAGCCAGAAGAAAAACAGTCTGTTGAAAACCGAAAAAAAAAAATACAAACTGCGTTTAAAAAAGAGATGGGGTTAAACGTTGACAAGCCTAAATCTCGATCTGGAACATCGAATGATGGTAACGAATGATGGCACGACATTTTTTTGAAAAATATCAACAATCGGCAAAAATAACGGGAGTCGATCAGGACATCATATATCGTTTCTACATCATCCTGCAAGCCATTTCAAGTGGACATGAGATAAATATAGGAAACTTCCGGCAATATAGTGTAAAGTTGGCTAGAATGCTAGTAGACAAATATAATTGGTATTATATGCCAACTTTAGTGCATAAGCTTTTGATTCATGGTCCAGAAATCATTCAAGATGCCGTTTTGCATATCGGACAAATGTCGGAAGATGCTCAAGAGGCTTGCAATAATTTTTTTGCCATCTATCGCCTGAACTTCGCTAGAAAGAACTATCGTCAGAAAACAATGGAGGACGTGTTTAAACGATTTTTATTAGTTTCTGACCCATACATTTCAAGTTGCAGAAAGTTGCCAGCAAAACTGATGAAGTCTTTGTCAGCAGATACAATTGATTTACTGTTGTCTCCATCTATTGATGCGGAAGAAGTGTTGGAAAGTACTGATTGTAGTTCGGCCTCTGAGACAGAGACAGATGTAGATGCTGACGATCTTGCTGATAACGAAAAATTTTTTATGTAATTAAAACTAAATAATCTATTTTGCTGTATAACCTACAATTTTTAAATTTAATAAAAGGTTTTGGTGAAAATTTGAAAAATGTTTGTGTAGTATATTTGTTTAGTCTGACTATAATTATTGAATAGTAACAAAAAAAAGGTACACGAAGAAACTTGAAAACTGTTTGTATTGCGTTTTATTGGATCCGCCATTTTGAATTTCATAATTCTGGTGGAAAGGGGTGGATTTTCAAAATTTTAAGTCAATTTATATGTTTTCGGGGTCGCTGATTACGACAAATTCGTAATCAGCGAAAACATATAAATTGACATGCATCTTGATTATGTTCTAGAAAATACGCTATTTCACGTGAGGGGGTGGCCAATAGGGGTGGAAGGGGATGGATTTTCAAATTTTTAAAATCAAATTCGTAATCAGCGACCCCGAAAACCCCCGAGTAAGAAATTTTGAATCAATTACTTGATTTTTCGAGTTTTGGCCAGCTTTTTGGGAATCGGCCGCACTGTGCGCTGTGGCGACGCGAGTGGGGGGCGCACAACCGGCGCAGGGGGCAGTCTCGCCTCCAGGCCAGCCAGGCGTCCGTCCAGCATATTCCCAAATGCGATGAGAATTTCACGCAGTTGGGCGTCAAATACCCCTAAGTTGGTGGTAGGGGCAGGCTGGGATGCGGACGGGGCTTCCGGGCGAACTGAGCGCTCAGCTCGTTCACCCGCTCCGTCAGCCTCACGTTGGCCAACTGTAGGCGAGAGACATCGCCCATTAGGCCCTCCACGACCTCCGACAAAGCGGAGGAGGAGTCCTTGAGGGCCCTCACAAACGAGCCCTTAAGGTTTACGGACTTGGTGGCCACCTGGTGGATGATGGCCACCGCCGCTTTCGCCCTCTCCTGCACGGACACGGGAGCCTGGGGGGCATTTCCCCCCACCGGCTCCCGAACCTTGAGCAGGAGATAAGCGATCTCCTCCTCCGCTACGGCCTCGCCGTCTACTCGTACACTTTTGTACGACTCCGCGTTTGAGAAGCTGGAACCTGACGGGGTCGAGACCGAGGCCGGTTTTCGTGGCCTCCCTCGACGGCTGCTTGTCACTTTTGGTGGCATCATTTCTTGGGACGTGTCGGTCTCCTCGTCCCTGAAGCGTCCGCGTTTCCGGCTATCGCATCGCTCCGCTTCCATGGCCTTCGCGCCATCCGACGAAACGGCGGATCCGGAACACAGACGATCTGATGCTCTTCGGCTCCCAGAGACCAGAGTCAGACTGACTTATGGGAGCCCCACCGAGATAGGCGTTCCCGACACCACCTCACCCTCAGTGGACGACCCATCCACTCCACTTTTCCTCTTCTCCTTCCTTCCCTTCGTTTCCTTGTCCGTTTGACTTGCCTTTTTTCATTGTAGTTGGTTTTCCGATCGTTTCTTAATACTTTCATTATCATTGTCCATAATAAATCCCACTAGTGGGGGAGAACTAAAGGTCCACCCGGGCAGAGATCCCCCATTACCCGGGCAAGCGTAAGTTTTTAACCCAACCGAGGGGTCCGCAGGTACCTCGGCTTGGAGTGCGCTCGAGACTGAACTTCCCATCAGCCATGCATCCCCTGGCCACGCACCAGAACACGGGATTCGGGGAATTCCAAGAGCCAAGACCCTCGCCCCCGATAAGAGCCGCGAGACTTGACCACAGCGCTCTTCTCGGAATAACGATATGCCGACGGTTGACAGGGAGACTACGTCCCCCTGCCTGCTCGGTGGTAGTGTCAGTACACGCCGAGCCCGTCCTCCTTTCTCCACCGCTGTCAGCGGAGAAACTGTGGCCCCTACAGGCCCCGCCATCCGGTTTTTTACCGAGGTTTCCTCCTCCATGCTCCGAAGAGCGAAGAGCCAGCAGGGCAACCGGCAGACACGCCCACCCTGCTGGACCAGGCCTTGCCCGAGAGCCGATGAACGGCTTCCTCTTCTGCTAGAATATTAGCCGCTGGCGATAATCCTCTCCTCCAAGTGGACAAGGAGGAAACAGTGCCATCGCCAGCGTTTCCAGGGTGCACCACGGGGAGGTTTTCTAGCGTAGAACCCCTAGATTTATGAACCTAATAGGACCTATTTAACAATAGACCGTAAACCAATAAAGAAAGAAAGAAAGAAAGAAAAATCGTTTATTTTGGCAATAATACATTTTGAACAATTGCAACTTGGATTACCAACGATGCCAAAAACGGACCCAATTCAGCCTTATGTCAGATGGAAGCCTGACGCTGGTTTTCAATTGGGCCCAAAATGATGCTATGCGATACCCTGTTGCATGTAGTACACATAACACATGTAGTACACATTGTATACATACATCACAACATTAATAACATATAACAATAATATATAACATATAACAAGACAAATTACAGATATGCAGATCACAATAAAAATACACTACGATATACACAATATCCAACAACGTTAATCTATAAATATCCAGTCTCCAAAGCGTGCACGCCCCTCATCCCCGACTCTGACAGCGCTCACGTTAAATCAGGGAAGAGTTCACAATGGCCATATCCAGTCTCCGCTGTGCGTCTATGAGATACCGCCGCAATCTATATTTAAAAGTGCCAATCGTATTTGACGATCTTATAGGCGGCGGTAAATTGTTCCATATTTTTGAGGCCGCATAGCGGAAACTACCTTTAAAAGCGGCCGTTTTATGCGGTAATATAGAGAGTTGCCGTGAGCACTGTCTCACCGTACAATCACGTCTATTGGACACCCATTCCAATTTACGAAACAGGTAAGTTGGTTCGCGGTGTGTAACAATGCCAAACATTAGTGATGCTAAGTGAAGCTTGCGCCTAGACTTCATTTTGAGGACATAGTTGTCATTTAGGAACGGAGTGATGTGAGTTCTTGGTGGTATCCTGAAACAAAAACGGGTGCAAGCATTTTGGAGCCTCTGAATCAACCTATCCGTGCGAGCTAGAAGCCGTGGCCCATACACCGTATCGGCGTAGTTTAATTTTGATAGGACCAGCGACTCAACCAGCCGCATTCGCAGGCTCTCGGACAGAAACGGTCGTATCTTGTACAAAATGCGCAACCTATAGAAACAGTTTCGAACTAATTCAGCAACGTGCTTTTCGAACCTTAAATTACAATCGATAAGCAGGCCAAGATTACGGGCCTCATTCACCCTCTCAATTGATTGTCCCATAAGGGTTATGTTAAAACTGGGAAGTGAGTTTAGATTTATTTTAGTACCGAATATCATGTATTTTGTCTTATTTGGATTGAGAACCAATGAATTTCTTTCCGCCCACTGCACGATTCTGTTCAGATCATCATTTAAGTCAGATATAGCTTTATCGTAATCACTTAACTTAAACGAAATATAAACTTGAATGTCATCAGCATATATATGATATCGTGAATTAATCAAACATTTTGTTATATCGGCGCAGTAAATACTAAAGAGAATAGGTCCTAATACTGATCCCTGAGGAACCCCTCTTGTAACAGAAGTGAGTTCAGAAACCACTGAAGCCCCACCATCAAGATGCAGTTCCACACCCTGACATCGACCTGACAGATAGCTATGGAACCATTTAACTGCATTACTGTCGAACCCGTAGTATTTAAGCTTTGACAGCAACAAAGAAGTGTTAATGCTATCGAAAGCCCGGGAAAAATCCAATAAGACAAGCAATGTACACATGCCCTGGTCTTGTGCTAATAAGATATTATCAGTCACATCAAGCAAGGCAGTAGCGGTCCCTCGACCCTTTCTAAATCCGGACTGAACCTCCGGTAAAACGTCGTATTTCTCTAAATACTCAGACAACTGAGCGCAAACTACCTTTTCTATAACTTTTGACAAACACGGCAGTATACTTATAGGCCTGAAGTCTTTTACATCAACCGGGCTAGTGGTTTTAGGCAGCGGCCTGACAGTAGCGATTTTCCAGATATCGGGAAAGGTTGCCGTCTTTATGGAGGTATTCACCAAATGTGTGATAGCGGGCAATGTATACGGCAGAGACAACATCAACATCTCCAAATTGATACCGTCACGACCCTCTGCATTTGATTTAAGGGCTGAGAGATGTTTCGAAATGATCTGTTGGCTAACAGCTGAAAGAACGAAGGTGCCCTCTCCATGACTATGGAATTCAAAGAACGTCATTGTTGATAGGCTCACTGTAGGGTTACCCGGGACGTTAAGGAAGTGACGATTAATTAAATCCGGGTCAGAGAAATGAGATGGGAGATCATTGCCCCGTTTGTTCGGCAGAATGGTTGCTTTTAAATTCTTCCATAGACTCTTGGGATTTTTTATTTTATTGTTAATGTTAAAATTAAAATATGCTATTTTTTCACGGTACAGAGAAGCCGTCACCATAGATTTCAACTGCTTATAATAATCTTTTTTGCTCTCGGTTTTACATTTATGAAATACACTCAGAGCGTTATCTCTCAATCTCATCATACATTTTATTGTGTCCGTTACCCAGGGATAAGACGGTTCTTTAATGAGGCAGGTCTTAATCGGTGCATGAGCATCAAACACCGCGAGCACACAGCTGTTAAATATATCAACCATCTCATTCATGGAAGTTAAGGACAAAATATAGTTCCAATCAATGCGCATCAAGCTTTTGTTAAGGTCATCAGTATTAATATATTTGAAGGGTCTATACCTTGCCAAGTATGGTTGAAGTTTATCACGCCGTATACAAAACCTGCATGTAATCACCGAATGTCCGATCAGACTACCACACGGTTCAACCGTAACATTTTTGGCGCGTAGGTTAGTACAGACTAAGTCAATTAGGGATTCACTCGATTCTGTAAAGTGTGTAGGTGCTGTAACAATTTGGGATAAACTAAGGCAACCGAGAAAATCCATCACCACCCTGGTGCGGCTGTCACTCCCATTGAGTAAGTTCACATTAAAATCGCCTAGGAGAATAAAATGGTCAGTGTCGTCGAGTGATGTCAATGTGTCAGTTAGGGCGTC